TGATTCCTGACTTCCAGGGTATTTTTACTAGATCAGGGAAGATTAGACATAGAAAGGAGAGTATTCTCATAGGTGAAGTTAAATTACAGCCTAAACTGAGTAAGTTCTCACCGAAATCATTCTTCCCTGGGTGAGTATAAAGAGAAAGGGGCTGGAGAATCTCCCGAAGCTGGTTAAGTTATTGGCAAGACTGCACCTGTATTGGTGTTTTTAAACCCATTACAGTCTTAGTTATATTTTTCTTCTTTGTCTTCATTGTCAGCCATGGAGGAAAGGATGCGATGAAAAGATGTCTTAGGAGACAACATTATATTTTTCCATTGAAGTTAAGTTGACCACGATAGCATTTAAAGTAACCCTGCTGGCCAGGCACAGTGGCTCATGCCTGTAACCCCAGTACTTTGGGAGCTCAAGGCGAGGAGGATTGCTTGAAGCCAGGAGACCAGCCTGGGCAACATACTGAGATACTATCTGTACAAAAAAGTAAAAAAAATAAATAAATAAATAAAAATTAGCTGGGCTTTGTGGCGCAGACTTGTAGTCTCAGCTACTCAGGGGGGCTGAGGTGGGAGGATCGCTCAAGCCCAGGTGTTCCAAGGCTGCAGTGAGCCATGATTGTGTCACTGCACTCCAGCCTGGGTGACAGAGTGAGACTCTGTCTCAAAAATAAACAAACAATCGAACAAAGTAACCCTGTGAATTGAGCTGTGGATTAAACATACTATACTCACTGTAACATCATCATTGCCTGCTTGAGAAATTCATGCTGTCCTTAACATACTGCTACTCATTTTAATTCCTGGGGAGATTACTTGCAGCTTGATGGGTACATGGGGAATGTTGGTCGGGGTGTAGGGGGGAGTCCCAGATCTTGACCTTGGAGGTGTTAGGGGAGATTTCAGAGTACCCCTAGTGTGTGAACTTCAGGATTTGTAGGATTGGGGCCCCTCAGCTGGCTGGTTAACACATCTGTCCTTAGCTCTAGGGGCAGTCAGTTTGCTAAGCAAATGGAAGTGAAAAGCCAAACACAGCAAAAAAATTCCAGGTCTTGACATCTTGGTCTTCCTAAGTAGCTCTGTGTGTGTGGAGCCCATCCCGCAGCAGCTGTGGCCTTGGGGAAAGTGTGCAGGCCCCCACAACACAGACGCCAGAAGCCCTGACTTGTGCAGCTCAAAAGCCTGAGGAACTTCAGTTAAAAGAAAATAAGGTTAGAATAGTAGAAAGGGAAAGAAGTCGAAAGCCCCTATTTAAGTACCTGGGAAAATGAAGAGGAAAAAAAAAATTATTATTTCAATTACTATGAAAATGTATTTTATTAGAAGATGGGGATTCATCATTGACACTCAAAAGCCCGAAAAGCAATATCCCGCACTATAATACCCCTGTCTCCATGCAGGGAGAATGAGTTATTAAATTGGAAGATGAATGTTTTGCAGTTCAGTTAACTGCATCTGTTAAAAAAGAAATAGTTATAAACTTGCTGTGGGCCCCCAAACCCTCCCCACTAAAGCTGTCTTTTGCCAGCCCCCAGCCCTCTGTATCTTCAAGGATTTTGACATGACGCGCCTTTCACATTTCTATGGCGTATGAAAATTCAGGAGTAAGAAAGAAAAAAAGTCAGCAAATTAAATGCAAACCAGAGGTTTTTATTATTATTATTTTAAAAAACCAGTTGCATATGGTTCAATTGTGGCAAAGTGCGACAATGTAAATGCAGTGCATTCTTATGTATAACAGCTTTTCCTCCGCTCCCATGGCAGCCTCAATAACGCAGCGCTTCTGTTCTGCATGAATAAATATGTATAAAATGTAATGCTGCAAAGAAATAAAATCCGATAACTGAAAGATACCATTGCTTAGATTCCGGGAGCAACATGAGGCATCAGCTTTTCTGATTCTTTGGTATTTATGTGAGGAGCCATTGAAATGATAATTTGGAATTTATTATTTTTTTTCAGGGGCAAGTAATTTCCAGCTGTCCATTGGGGCTTTAAGAAATGGAGGTTCTGGTGGTCTACCTGCCCATCCTGTTTTCTGGGTGGGGTCTGTGGCTTCTTCTCTGCTTCTCCATTCAGCCCATATACTCACGGCCTGACCATCCTCTTCCTTCGCCACCTCAGGAGTCAGCCTCGTTAGTGAAATAATGAATTTAGCCCTCCGAGCCAGCTGTGCTTTTTCACCCCCGAGACTCATGTGCTTGATGAGTTGCAAGCTCAACACAATTCCCTGCTCACAAAAGGGGAACTCCACTCTTTCCTCTCTCTAGTCTTGAAATCACATAGGATAGTATTTTAGTAATAAGGGATATGTGAGCCCCTTTTATTTTCTTTTTCCCCTTTCTTCTTTTTTTAACTTTTATTTTAGGTTCGGGGTGCAAGTGAAGGTTTGTTACATAGGTGAACTCGTGTCATGGGAGCTTGTTGTGCGGATTACTTCATCACCCAGCTATTAAACCCAGTACCCTGTCTTTTCTGCTCCTCTCCCTCCTCCCACCTTCCCCCTCGAATAGACCCCAGTATCTGTTGTTCTGAGCCCCCCCTCAACCTTTTTTTTAATAAAAGAGGAAATTGCTTACAAACTTTGGCACTTCTTGTCCCTAACATAAATACTTGGGACCCTGCTTCACAGTTAGTCTTAACTTAGTTCCCTGTCGTCTGCGAAGGTTGAAGCTGGGAATTATTAGGGTCCAGGTTGTCTAGTTCCAGCCCCCAAGGCTTTCACAAACTGGCCCCAGCCTACCCTTCCTGCCTGTCACCCATCCACACTGTCCAGAAACCCTGCGAAGTCTCAAGCCACACCTCTACTTGCACCCTGGGCTTTCCAGATTGTGGTATTGCATTGCGGCTTCCTTCTACTAGCAATGCTTTTTCTAGATTTATAATTTTTAGCCTTGAAGATTCGGCTCAGATGTCACCTTTTTTTTTTTTTTTTTTTTTTGAGGCAGACTGTCACTCTGTCGCCCAGGCTGAAGTGCAGTAGTGCAATCTTGGCTCACTGCAACCTTAGCCTCCCGGGTTCAAGTGATTCTTGTGCTTCAGCCACTGGAGTAGCTGGGATTACAGGTATGCGCCACCATGCACGACTAATTTTGGTACTTTTAATAGAAATGGGGTTTCGCCACGTTGCCCAGGCTGGTCTAGAACTCTGGGCCTCAAGTGATCCACCTGCCTCGGCATCCCAAAGTGCTGGGATTACAGGTGTGAGCCACTGTGCCTGGCCGACGGATGTCACCTGTTTTGCAACCACTTCTTCCCTTATTACCGCAGCTGCTAACATATCCCATGCATACAACAGTGGCGTGTCTACTGGCTCTCTCTGCCAGCCTCCTCTAAGGCGGAGATCAGATCTCAACACTTTTCACATCACCAGTGCGTAGGGTCCATGGTGAAATTAACAGCATCCAGTGTGTGTTGCAGGACTGAAAGGATGAACCGCTCAGAACAGACAGTATCCAGCGTATTCTTCCAGTGCTCAGGATTTTCCTTTCAGCCTCATTCCAGGAGAGGGTTGGCAGGACAATACTTGAGAGCACTTGAAAAGCAAGAAACTCAGGAGAGAGGTTACCATCCAATGATGAAGGTACTACCAGTGATGACATGTCCTGTCTCTAACTCAACTTGCAGCCCAGGGGCACCTCACAAACATGCTTCATCGATGACAGTGTGTGTTTATAGTGCTTGTGTTGTGAAAATAAACAGCCCTTGAAGTGTAAAATTAGAAGTAAATAAATGAGTTAGGAATTATTTTCTCCACTGTTTAAACAAAGCTACTTCTCAGGTGGGACATTAGCTTCCTTGGAGCAAAGCCAAAATCTGGCTTGGTTAGCCAGAAAATGTAAACACATTTCTGTTAATGTTCAGAGTAGAAAGGAAAACTCCAAGTTTTGAGGAGAACCTCTCCTTTAACTGCTGCGTGAGGCTGGACTAGTTATCCAACCTCTCTGGGCCTTGGACCCTTATCTTTAAAATGAGGCTAATAGTGCCTCCTTCATTAAGTCTTTGCCAGGACTGAAATACACATTTCATAGCATGATGATTGGATCAGAAAAGCACTCCATCCATATATATTAGCTATTTGAATTATGATTTGGGTTTCAGGGAGTTTATTCCGCCCTTATAAACATATCAAGTGGACACCATGTTTTGGTCTTTTCTCTCCTCCTTAAACCAGGCTGTGCTAAATGGGAATCCTCAAACTGAGCCCTCAGCCTCAGGGATAAGGTGTCCCAGCCATTTCCATTGTATGGGTGGCTCAGAGCCCTTTCTGTCCACTCTCTCCCTGTCCTCAGTTGTCCGGGTGAGGACAGCTGACTTTGGAATAGAAAGATGATGGGGCTACATGTCCTTATTGTGAATCAAAACCTGGGGTCCGTGTTTTGATTCTGAGGTCAGAATCAAACCAACCTGCTGGGTTGGTTGGCAGGTCCTTAGGACTTTCATGCCTTCAAAATGTCAGGTTCTTTGCCCTGACTCCAGTAGCCCAGCATGACCCAAGTACTACATTCCTGGGCAGGGCCAGCCAGAGCCAGGAGGCACTGACTGTGTCTCTCCGTAGCCAAAACACTAGCCAGGAGGAGAGGAGGTAAGGCCAGCAGTTTGCAAATAGTCGGCGCACTGGTGGCAGCAGGGAGGAGGCTCCTGGGCTGGGCCGAGACCAGCCGCCCTCACCCCAGGGGCCCACCACCCCACCTCCCCCTCTTGTTATGAAACCCACGGGGACAACCACACATGTGGGCAGCCGGGGGCTTTCCTCAAATTGACAACAGCTTCTCGCTGTCGCTCGGCAGAACATGAGCTGCTTACATAAACACTGCCTCAGAGACACCTGCAGTGTGGGACGCAGGGAGTCGGAGGAGGGTGGAGGGAGAGGCAGAAAGCTGCAGGGTGAGAGAACGGCTCCGCGCCCCACCATGGAGGGGCCGTCTGTGCATCCATACACTGCACACGCACGCGCGCGCGCGCGCACACACACACACACACACACACACACACACGAGGTTGGTTACCTTCTCATCTGTAACTAGGAGGCAGGGAAGAAGGCAATGCAGTCCTCCTTTAGAGACTCAAACTGTGTCCCCAGCCCTCCCCATCTCCTCCCACACCCCCCTCCAAACTCAGCTTGGCTGGGAAAGGAAACTCCCCAGTCTGCTGTGCTCCTGCAAGCTGAGTGTTTGCAGGTGAATCTACTCCAGGTACAGGAGCAGCTCCTGGGAGAAAGTGGGTGGAGGGTGAGCATGGAGAGGGAGGGGGAGAGGGAGGGAGTGGGAGAGGGAGGGAGGGAGGGAGGGGCGGAATCCCTGGAATTTAAGGTTAGAGAATATAGTAGGGGACTGGCATGGTAAGATGGTATTTGGGGGCCTCTACGAAAAACACATCCTGCAGATCAGACCAGCATGGGCTCTGTAGGAGAGGGTGGAGGGTCAGCGCATGCTCAGGGAGAGGGCTCTGAGAGGGGGCAGCACCTGGCCGTGTGGCAGTGGCCTCGGGTTTCCAGGTGGCACTTTCTCACTTTTCTGTCAGTTTACCTGACTCACCAAGTGAGTGAGATCGCTGCCTGTGAGTTACCCCGTTGCTCACATCTATTCACAAAGCGCAGACAGGTGGGGAGGGCTTCCCTCTCCGGGCCTGACACCCCTGGGTTCGGGTCCCCTGGCTTCCTTCCTCTGGGCTGCTCACTCGGGCTCTTTGCTCCTGGCCAGCCTGAGCAAGTCAGCAGAGCACAGGATCTCCAAACAGGGGTGCATTCCCTGGCTTCATCAGAGAGGAGGCTTGGAGCTCAGGGAACAGAGAGCAAACTGAATGTCTAGGCCAAGCTGGATGCCGAGGGGAAACAGCCCTCCTTTTGAAAGTATTCTTGCATTTTAACTGTCATCACAGTGAAGCCACCATGGGCAGAGCCTGGAGGCTGGAAGAGGGCGTCGGAATGATGTCCGGCTGGTTTCTTATCACAGAGCACCGGGTAGGGGGATGAGCTAAAAGTTATAGTTCTTGTTCCCAGCTTAGTGTGGCTATGGGGCCGGTGGTATCTCCTCTGTGTTCCTCCATCTCTTTTGAGGCAGAAAGAGAGGACAAGCCCTTCCCTACGGGAAATGCTTTACTCTGCTCTAACATAATCTTACTCTCAGAGCCCACTCACAGTGAATAGATCTCAGCTAGGAAGGGAAGCAAACATCCCCAGGTGACGATAAAGACCAGACGCAGAGGTTTAACTGATGTGTGTGAGTTCATAGAATGAGAGCGTGGCCTCCACGATCTCAATGTTGAGAGAACGGCGTTCAACATATTGTATTGTGACATGTCTGCTTCTGGGCTGCCTATCCCACCAGGCCGTGAGTGCCCCAGAGGTAGGAACTATATCTTAGTCACCCTTGTACTTTCAAGCCTCACAATGGGGCTTGCCCAAAAAAGGGCACTCAGTAAACGTCTCATGAACACATGAATTGGTGAGTAGCAGAGATGAGATTTCAAGCCAGTGGGGAGAGATGAACACCCTCAAAAGGAATGTTGACTCCAAGAAACATCAAAAGAGGGACAGAACCTTGAGATTTTCCAACTCCAGCTCTTCAATCTACAGAAGCAACTGAGGTCCAGATAGGCTAGATCACAGGCTCATTCCCACATAGCGAATTTGAGGCAGAGCCAGGACTACCACCCGGCTATTCTCACCACGTTATGCCAGAAGGGTCGGGGAGGACAGGGAGCCTGCCTAGGGGTGCTTCACACTGGGGGAGATGTGATTTCAGGCCTTGAGGCACACACACGCTTGAAAACAAAACTGCATGATTCAACAAACATCTGCAGAAGCAATGCAATTATCTCTGAGATCTAAGCATTGATCGATGGGAGTTTTAATTACCAAAATTTCTTCATCCTCTTCCACAGAAGAAAAAAATTTTCTGGTGTGTTTATTTCATGGCAAAATATGGTACGATTCTACGGCACACAAAGGGGTACGTTGCATTTGGGAAAAGCGTGTTAAGCACCATTTTTGTTGTGGTGGTTGTCTCTGCAGCTGAAAATATTGTTCCTTTTGATCTCTCAGACTGAAAAGCAGATTGCCACATGCATCCAAGTTTGGCTTCAAGTGGGAATAGCTCTACCCAAAGTCGGGCCTGAGCAAGGGGATGGGGAGGAGTGAGCAGCCTGGGGCTCTGCCTGGGGCCAGGACCCTGAAGGCGGTGGATGATGGGGAGGGGTAACAAAGCACAGGCACTGGAGTCTGGGAAAGACTCAGCTAGAAGACGAGACATCAGCCCTGAGTGGGCCCCACCTCTTCAGTGGGTGCCCATGTGACCTTAGCCACCTCAACTACCGTCCCTGCCATTTACTTCACAGGGCTTTTGTGAGGGTCAAATGACATTAGAACTTGCTTTGAGAAGCTCAAAGTGCTCTATAAATGTGACGTATTATTATTTCAGCAGGAAGATGCAGATGGGGGCTGTAGATGGCCGCCCTGGGGTTTTAAAAGAAAAACTTGTTCAAAACTGCTCCTGAGGCAGCGATCACCTGCTTTACATTCACATTGACTTCTCTTTCAGGGCAGCCGTCAGTGTATGTGTTTTGTTTCTGATGCTAAGGCCCTTTCTGAACCGGATCTCCATCCCTTCACTGAGCAGGTGCCTGCTGTGCTGCGGCAGGTCCATGTGGGCTCTGGGGACAGCTCCAGGTTGCCTGTGCTCTCCTCCCCGCCAGGTGCTCTCCCTACTTGCCCTTCCCCATACCTTCCTCCCCATTCTTCAGTCTTCTTTTGGCCATGCAGAGATGGACGTGGAGTGGCCCAGGTGGACCAGTGAGGGTGGGGAGGGGCCACTGGTGCTCTAGCAGGGGCAGCCTAGACCCAGACTCTGCTTAAAGCCACTGGTTCTCCTGCCCACCAGGAGTTTCTATAGACCTCAAGACCTTGATGCAGTCACCAAAGAAGGGGAAGCACGGGGCCAGGGCCAGGGCCTGGGCCCGCTTGCCCTTGCCAGGTCCCATAGCCCTTCCTGCTCTGCTCTGCCTGGGGGAGGGGTGGGGACTAACCCCCATGGCTGCACTTTCCAGGCTTCCTGGGTCCTCTGGATTTAGTTTGGGTTGAGCCATATAGAGGCACTGGTGGGAAATTAAAGGGCAGGAGGGAGGAAGAAGCCGGGATAGTCCTACCTCTCCCTCTTGGCGTCCAACAGTGACTGTGGCCTTGACTGTGTGCATGGGGCCCCACAGGGCTCCAGTGTCCCCAGGGATGCCCCAGCTTCTGGACTCTCCAAACCCCACATCCTCCCTTTCTCCATCCAGTCTAAGGGCGGTAGTTGCTCATTTGGGGGTGCCTCTCACCCTCTTTTTTGACTTCTGTGACCTTCCTATCACCTACAAGGACTTGTGCCTTTGCAAGTGTCCAAGGTTGGCCAACTTGCAGACCTGAATGCAGACAGGCCAGAGCCCCTCAGACTTGGGCTTCCTGCAGCTACTATATTTATCTGTTCCCTTTTCTCGTGTCTGTCGTGCTCTGCCAGGCTGAAAACTTCCTGAGTGCAGGACTGGGACCATCTCATTCACAGTTGTAGGTCCCCAGTGCCTAGAGCCATGCCAGCTATCTAACAGACACAAAATACTTGTTAAGAGAAGAAATTAGTGGAAACCACTTAAGTTCCAAATAACGTTCTCCCCATGGGGCAATGCTTCTCCTTTGGGGGTCACCCTCCCTCTTTGGAAAAACTCCTCCTGGGATGAATCTCTATTGCAGCGTGGATCACACTCAAGCCATCCAGTCCTACGTGGATGATCCTGCCTGCCACAGAGGGAGGCAGTAGCATACAGCAATTAGGGATGAAACTGGGGTGGGAGGCCAGGCTCCACTACTTGTGTGGCCGTGAGCAAGTGGGGACTACTGACTTAACCTCTCCACACCTCAGTTTCCCCAGCAGTAAAATGGTGCTGAGAGTGGCGACTCTGTCCTTGGGCTGTTGTAAGAATTACACAAGGTAACAAGCGTGGAAGCCTGGCTACCTCGTAGGCACTGAATCACTGCCATCCCTGTGAGCTTCTTGGCTCAATGGGGCGGATGAGGAAGGGGTTGTCAGTGAGACCTGGGAGGCTTCTCCAACATGTGGCCGTCACTGGTTTTCTGTAAAGATTAGAGAACACCCCGACCCTCCATCTCATTCACCTTTTTCTTGCTTCTCCCTATCCTTTCCCCAATTTTTCAGAGAAAATAAGCATTTAGAACTGGGATCCGTCCTATCACTTTTCAGGGAAGGAAATGGGGACACAGGAAATCACAGCAACCTAGCCAGGGCCCACAGCCTGTTATTGGCAGAACTGGGGACATAGGGCGTCTTAGTCAAACTCTAGGAAAGCGTGCATCATCAGCACCAGTGACCCAGGCAGTGCCGGCCACACCCAGGCAGCCCTGGGCTGAGCAGAGGTGGGAGGAGCCAGCAGGGGGTCCCAGGTGAAGGGAGGTGGGTGCTTTTCCCTCTTGACCTCACAGATTCAGGATTTGGGGTGGTGTGGAGAATGTACCATGACTTTCTGTCATGCACACATGGTGATGCTACCATGCCCTATTTTGATCATGAACAGAGGGAGGTCTCAAACTGGCAGAAAAGGGACCACAGCTCTAGGAAAGAAAGCAGCCGCAGATGTGAAACTATGAAGGGGTATTAATCGTGTCTTTTTATTCTGTAATGTTTGTGCTTTGACATTTTGGGGCCTCACTGATCCTGGAGGCACTGCCCCTCCCAGGGCTAATTCCTAGAGATAGTAAACTCCTCTGAGCACCATTTGCTTATGAAAACCAACCAGACCAGTGTCCATACTACCAAACCACCTTCTCTATCAGATTTTTACACTCCAGGCCACTATCCACCTGCCCAAACTACCCCAGGGTGGGTACTAGACAACTGGGAACAGTCCTTATACCCAGAGCCTGTTGAAGTGATTCACACTAGCCAACCCCTAAGCCTGCTCACCCTACCCCACCTGTTCCTCCCACGATCAAGACTCCTACTCAGGTTTTCCCCTGGTTCACTCTGCCTCCCAACCGAGCCTGGGGCATCCCCCATGTGGCCCTGCAAGCCATACCCCCCGCCTCTTGGGATCTGCGAGTATAAAACTTCCTCCTTCATGAGAGCCATTTCTGTGTCTACATGTCTTCCCACACCTGATTAAAACAAATCCCAGACACCATCAAAACAATAGGGGCATCTATACAAAGCAGAGATTCTGATGCTTGTTTAAAGGTTCAGAAATTCGGACCTGGAAGGACGCTTATCACAATTATCCTTCATTATATCCTTGATCTAAACACTTTCTGATGTGAGAACAGTCCCAAGGAGCCAGCAGAAAGTCCCATCAGTTTCTCACGCTGAGATCAACCTGAATAGTGTTTGCCACATCACCACTGCTTTGTATCACCCATTAGCACACCCAGATCACTCTGCCAATACTCAAATCCACTCAAAAACCCACACCAGGGACCTGACCTCCCTGTGCCCCAAGGGGCTCTGGCCAGATCTCAACCTCCCAGCCCCATATCCCTCTCCAGAGAAGGTTGTATCTGCACACTTAAAAAAAAAAAAAAGTTGAGCTGAAGATGGCACAAAATTAGTTCCTTCGACAGACAAATTTGCTCCTGAAACACTCTGCCAACCTGCTAATGAGTCGTCTTGAACCTTGCGTGGTGTTACCTCTAATTTTGCAGCCTGCTAGGATTTGAGTTCTGTGGACAGCCTCACATTTGGTTTGGAATTATAGGCTGAGTTGCTGCTCACTCCTATTATTGTGCTGTCAATCTTGTATTAGCGCATTATAATATGGTACACTGAATGCATCTGTTCTGTATATCACAGGGCCTCGTTGTCATTTGTTGAATCATTTTGTCTTATATGATTGTTAGGCAATTATTTCATCTCGAGTGGCTTAAATTTTGATTACTGTATACTATTTGCGGGGGATACAAAAAGAGTGGGGTACAACTCCACCATCAGCTGATTTCACCAATTCTCCACTCCAGGGCTCACACATATTTATGTTGGAGTGCAAAGGCTTCTGATGCCCAGACATGTGTCCCCCAATCTGAGAAGGGAGCCAGGAAAGGGGCTGGAGTTGATGCATCTTGACTTAAGGGCTGAAGAGTTGGCAATTTTGGAGGCCAGTGAAGAGCCACGTAGAAAATGTCCCACTGCCTGCCATCACCAGTAGCTCCTCTTGCTCCCGTCCTGCAGAGAGAGCTCCCACACAGGTCGCAGACACAGGGTCCTCTTTAAAATGAAGATGAAATGCACCTGGTTCTACCACCTAGTTAGAAGCAGTTATGAAGGTTGAAGAGCTGTTATCTGAGATTTATAGCCCCAAATCTGTGAGATAGACTCTCCTAATTAATAAGACAAGGAAGACTAGAAAGTTGCAAAAACTACCTGGCAGGGCTTGGAGCCTGCTGTCACCACCACGATGATAGCACTGTCTTCACTGCTGAGCCTATTAGAATGTCAGGATGTGCATTCTCCTCTCCTAGTGGGATGGCAGGGTTCACTGGCTATTACGGAGAAGCAAGTGCAGATCGTGACTTAAGGCTCCGGGAGGAGAGTTAATCAGGGAAGAGCTGGTTGACAAGACTCACTCAGCACAGGACTTGAGAACACCAGGAGGCGGAAAGGGAGAAGAAAGAACCTCTTCCAAAGGCAGCATCCACACCCTTGACAAAGGGCCATTTCCCCCAGCCTGGGTTGCTTTCTGACTTCCTTTGATCCCCACTGAGCATTTGCTTCCTTGTCTCCAGCCTTCACCTGATAAGTTCAATTCGACATCCTCTCTCTCTTCTCCCAATGTCCTCTCCTTAATTTCACTGCATCCTCCAATGTGAATGTTTGCCTCCCAGTCTGGGATCTGTCTTATTCCCTTTATCTCACCTGAAAAAGCTTTCTCCTTTAATCTCTGCTCATTCAAGTCCCACCCATCCTTCAAAGTATGGCCAAGCTCACCTCTTCCAGAAAAGCCTCACCCTGTGGTGTTATCTCCATCTGGAATCACAGCAGCACTTACTGTGAGATAACTATCCACTTACATCTAACAGAGTTCACTGCACTCTCCCCAAATGAAGTGGACACCTGTAGGCAGTAAGAAGAGAATCTTTTTGACCCAGTGGTGCATTCAATGCAATGCAAGGAAAGACCGTGATAATACTGAAAATGAGTACTACCCGGCCCCAGGAGGTGTACGCCATCCTTGCTTGATGCCAGTTCACAAAGAGAGCTCTTGTTTATTGAGAGCTTATAGTGCCGAGGAATTCACATAATTCATCTCATCTAAATTCTCCAACATTCATGAGATGGTTTCTCTTATTTCCTCCTTTTACGCATGAAGAAACTGAGGCTCAGGAGGTTAGATGACTTGTTCAGAGTCACACAGATAGTACGAGGCTGACCCAGAATTCAACCCCAGGTCTGGCTGACTCCAGCACCCGCCCTTTCCCTCCACGACCAAGCACAAGAAGCAGGCTGGCACTGGCCTTTCGCTGCTATGACTGCCAAGCTGGGTTACACCTGCTGCTGGTCCCCAGCACCAGGCACACGATGCAACTGTGAGTCCTCTGGAGTCTGTGAGGGAGCTGGCACTCGCCTTCTGCCTGAAGCAAAGGAGCTGTGCTCTTCAGTTTCAGCGTGAAAAAGCCTCAGAAGATGCCCAGCTTAGATGGACACAGGAGACAGTCTATGGACATCGTCTCCACTTCCTGGCTTCCTCAGCACTGTTGCTAGTGAAGCTACTCTGCCCAAGGTCTCCAGTAAACTGAAAGAAGTCAGGACTTACGCATACAGATGAATACGCCCCGTGGGTATTCACTGGGTCCTCTTGGGAAGCCAGCTCTGTGTCCCAGGCACACCGTCTGTGTGCAAGAGTAGGGGAACACCTGAGTTTGGGAATTGCTTTCGTATCAGCTTACAGGCCACTCCAAGAGCCGGCCTCCTGGCTTCATAGTCACAGACCACCTGCAGGGTTGACTTATGCATCCTTTTGCAGGAGACAGGCTCACTTCTCTCCTGTGACTAACATGGAATTACGGGTTAAGGAGGGAAGTCGTACTCACCTGTTGATTCATTTATTCACTCACTTGCTCACTCATCAATCATTTCTTCAACAATGAAACCCTTACTAGACAAATACTGACTCCCTGCTCCAGAATAACGATCTGTTCGGTGCTAGGACTGTCAAATGAGTAAGCGTTTCTTCCCACAGGCGTTCAGGGTCTATTTCTGCACTTTACAGACAGGCAAGACAGAAGTGATCGGAAGCGGCCACCAACCATGGAGTTCAGAAACACGGCACATTTCTGGAAGAGGCAAAAGGCAACTCTTCCATCCACATTGGTCAAGAGGAAATTCAACACAGCTCACAGCCATTGAATCTGACCCGGCAGCGTGTGATACATCCCATCGTCTTGTCAGTTAGCAGCTGTGGGACCTTGAGAGCTTCTTAAATTCCCGAGTCTAGACTTTCTTATCTTTAAAATGCAGCTGAAAACAATGTCTGTCTCATGCAGGTGTGGGCTAAAAGGAATCGTATATAAAGCATTCAGCACGTGTCAAGTCCAGGTCAAGGCCGGCGTGCAGAGGCAGGGAGAGGTGTAACCTCTTTCAGTTTGGAGCCACGCAGTACCCTGCCATTTGCAGCCCTTCGGGGTAAGGCTGTAGCCCCCAAACAGCCTGCTGCCCCAGAGCAGTGGCCCAGCAGGTGCGCTGACAGCTCTGGTGCACGTGGCATGCCCCTACTCCTCACACGGAAGCAACAGGGACACTGACAGGGACCTGAGATGGGGTGGCCCACCTGGCTGGCAGCTGGCAACTGGGCACATTGCCCAGAAGGTGGGGAGTTCTCAGTTAGGGGCAGAGGTGGGTGGTTGAGAGAGTAGTTAGCAGCACTGTCTACTGTGGCAGGGATCTCCTGGGTAAGGTCAGAGGGATTTGAGGAGGCCCAGGTGTCACCCCAGGGTGGGGCAGGACGCTGCTCAAGTCAGAAAATGAAGTTGCAGGATGTAGGGGAGGGGGTGGGACTGTTAGTCTAATTGTGACTCATCTCTCCTTATTTTTCTCCTTATCGCTTGTATTTAATTTTTTTTAATCCTCCCAAGTTACTGGGCCTTGAGGACATTCCTAGTGTGTGTGTGTGTGTGTGTGTGTGTGTGTGTGTGTATTTCTATATATATAATTTTTTTTTGAGACAGAGTTTCGCTCTTGTTGCTCAGGTGGAGTGCAATGGAGCGATCTCGGCTCACTACAACCTGCACCTCCCGGGTTCAAGCGATTCTCCTCCCTCAGCCTCCCGAGTAGCTGGGATTACAGGTGCTCGCCACTACGCCCAGCTAATTTTTGTAATTTTAGTAGAGATGGGGTTTCACCATGTTGGCCAGGCTAGTCTCAAACTCCTGTCCTCAGCTGATCCGCCCACCTCGGCCTCCCAAAGTGCTGGGATTACAGGCATGAGCCACCACGCCCAGCCATTCCTAGCATATTTTTATAATATTTAGCAAATAAGATGGGGTGGTGGTCCATGCCTGTAATCCCAGCACTTTAGAAGGCCAACGTGGGAGGATCACTTGAGCCCAGGAGTTTGAGACCAGCCTGGGCAACATGGAAAAACTCCATTTCCATAAAACCTTTAAACATTAGCCGTGTGTGGTGGTATGCGCCTGTAGTCCCAGCTACTAGAGAGGCTGAGGCAGGAGGATCGCTTGAGCCCAGGAGGTCGAGGCTGCAGTGAGCCATGATCACATTTGCCAGCCTTGGTGACAGAGCAAGACCATCTCAAAGTATGTATTTACCAAATGAAGTTTTATGATGTTCTCTAGCACTTTTTAGTTTATTCTCTTTAAAAAGAAACCCTCTGAAGTATCTCTGGAGAAGACAAATGCATGTGTGCGCGCACACACTCTGGGAACAGGAGCTGCTTCGGTAGATAACTGAGTGGGAGGAGGTTAATTTTTCACTGTGACCCTTATCTGTACACCTGCTAACTCAAAATAATTTAATAACAACAACAATGACAATAAAAGGGGAGTGAGTGCTCTCATTTTAATTGCTTTCTACTTATTTCCAGTTAATTGTCTTCCCTGCCGTGGCCTGCAGGGGACTCCACCATTCTTCTAAAGGACATAACTTCTTGATGCAGGACCACAACTAGGATGTTTGCCAACCCACCCACTTCTTCTTTTTTTTTTTTTTTTTTTTTTGGAGACAGTCTCACTCTGTTGCGCAGGCTGGAGTGCGTGGTGTGATCTCCAGTTCACCGCAACCTCCACCTCCCAGGTTCAAGCAATTCTCCTCTACCTCAGCTTTCTGAGTAGCTGGAATAACAGGTGCATGCCACCAAGCCAGCTAATTTTGTATTTTTAGTAGAGATGGGGTTTCAGCATGTTTGCCAGCTGGTCTCAAACTCCTGACCTCAGGTGATCCGCCTGCCTCAGCCTTCCCAAAGTGCTGGGATTACAGGCGTGAGCCATCGTGCCTGGCCCCCAACCCATCAGTTCTAAAAGGACTGGCCACAGGAGAACCCTCAGTCTTGGCCCTGCGATGAGGGTGGGGCTTGTAAGGGAGTGGCCATGGCTTCTGCCTTCTCCGGCCAGGCTCCTGGAGCCCTCCTGGGCTGGGCCACACCGGTTTGCTCGGGGCACTGGTACCACATCCCCAGATCAGATTTCCAAACCAGGATCTCCACACATCACTATGATATCATCTTCCTAAACCATTAATTCATGCTATTCCTGTGCCCAGAAAAACTGCAATGCTCGCTCTGTCCCGATGCAAAATCTCAGCGTCTGGGCCTCGCGCACTAGCCCTTGTTCCAGCTGGCTGGTCCTCACTTCTTCAGCTATCCCACCAGGGCCTTCTCTTACCCCATGTCAGGAAAGTGCGGGCTCAGGATTCTTACACGCTTATTCCCCTGCTGGGAGCTCCATCCTCTCCCCTTCCTGCTACACCAGGGGCTAATCCTGGCCACAGGCTTACTCCCCTCCAGGAAGCCTTCCGGCTTTGTAAAACTCCCATATGCTCAGTCACTATGTGAGTTAACCACTGAGAAGTAGTTATTCAAAAGTATGTTTGTTTTGGTCTTTCTTCAAGTGGATCATAAGCTCTCCGCATTCCCCATAGCACCAGGCTTACTGCCAGCCGCAATTTCAAATCCTCGAAAACGACTTTGATTTCATTTGGAGTCAAAAGACCTGGTTTGACTTCTAGAGCCCTGATTTGCACAGTTTAAAACGGGAAATTTTCCTACCAACACAGGATTTGTGAAATAAGAGCTTGGAGCCGAAGATGAGCTCCATTTTGGAGCTGAGAAAGGAGGAAAAGAAGACCAATGGGAGGAGAAACAGCAGGAGGCAGAGGGCTGCCCCATCTGAAGCGTCCTCAAAATCCAGAGCAATGCAGGGGCTGAGAAGAGGAAGGTGGAAGCTGAGCTTTGCGAAGAGACCCCAGTCTCCATCGGAAGATGCTACCCTGTTCTCCTTTCTGCTCTAAGGCTCCGGGGAGCTCAGAGTTTAGGGAGATGGTAAATGGGAGAGAAAAATTAAAGGCAAGAGAAGTCTAAGGAAGTCGTCAAAGCACAGCCAGGCAAACAGAACCCTTAAAGGAGGTAAAAGGTAATGCCATAAATTACAGCTTAAAAGCCTCGTTTTGGGCAAATTGCTTTTTAAGAAGCAGACAAACTCTATCAATAGCATCTACCGTATGTTTTTATAAAGTGCAGAAATATGTTTTTAAAAGGCCGGTAAATAAAGTTCCTATCGATTTGAACTCAAGTGTAATCTGTTTTTCTGTCTGCCACCAACACTGGTAATAAAGCAGAATCATGTAATACGGTATTTCAGCTAATGTGACTATACATCACTGCAGGGATGCCCTGCTCGGTGACCATCTATCATTTTCTATTGGTATTGCTTAGCTGCAGAATTTATAAACTTGCTCCAAATTGATGCAATGTTCAATTTTCTTTTCCAATTTATTTTTGGTTGAGCCAAGCGATATTGAGGTTTCTGAGCAAGCCGCTGAGCACCACCAGATGTTACCTGGAAGACCTCACACTCCTTCATAGGAGTGAGGAGAACATGAGCCAGTACTTGCCACTCTCAACAGGCACAGAGACGGAGGGCCCTGGAAGGAGATAGGTGATGGAGAAGAGGTAGCTTCCTCCCCTGGGGACCCAGCAATGATTGTGCTCCAGGAAATCCAGGGGCTGAAGGTGAAAGGCAAGATAACATCCAAGAGAGAAACTGCAGTAATGAACACTCAAGAGTCTGGGACTTTCACTAAGATGCAGACATCAGTTCAGTAGGTCTGGATGGGGCCTGCAGTGGCACATCTCTAACGAGTGGCCAGGGAATACTGATGCTGCTGGTCCATGGACCTCACTTTGGGCAGCAGTTCTCTAGAATTTTAGGAACTTTATGTCAGTAAGCAACCTCAAGTCATAGACTTACAAATTTCAGAGCTGGAAAGACCCCAAGGTGAAATCTGGTGCATTCTCCATTGTTTACATGGGGAAGGTATTATTAGCCCTATCTTTCAAACTCCCAGCTTCCCCTCTCTGTGCCCCAGCAGCACTGTGGGGCACACTTTTGTAGTGGCACTTGCCACATCATACTGTGTTGTCCACCAGACAGAGAGTGTCTAGAGGTCACTATGTTCGGAGGCCGCCTGGCAGGTGGCAGGTAGCAGGGCAGTGTGGTGGACAGAGTTTGAAATAAGGCAACATGGGTTTGAATCCTGACATTTACTAGCAAGCATGCTTGATCTTAAGCAAGTTACTTTACCTTCTTGAACCTCACTAGTAACTTGGGAATAAAGTTCTTTCCTCAATATCTTCCCTCTTTTTGAGACAGGGTCTCACCCTGTCACCCAGGCTGGAATGCAATGGAGCAATCTCAGCTCACTGCAACCTCTGCCTCCCCACGTTCAAGTGATTCTCCTGCCTCAGCCTTCTGAGTAGCTGAGATTACAGGCCTGCATCACCACATCCCGCTAATTTTTTTGTATCTTTAGTAGAGATAGGGTTTCACCATGTTGGCCAGGCTGGTCTTGAACCCCTGACCTTGTGATCTGCCCGCCTCAGCCTCCCAAAGTGCTGGGATTACAGGTGTGAGCCACCGCTCCTGGCCCTTCCCACCTTATTAAATAGGATAACATATGCAGCATAATGACCTTGACAAATTACCAGATGTCCAACAAAAGTCAGCTGTGTTATATATTTCTTCAGTATGCACTTGCCAGATGAATGAATGAATGAATGAATGAATGGTTACACGGCAGCCAAGGCAAAGAAAGTATAAGCGGCTCACACATAGGAAGAGGCCAGGGAAGTAGGTGGGGTGGAAGCCATGGAGCCAGGCTCCTCCTGCCCTCTGTCCTACCTCGCCTGCTGTCTCCCACATCCTCACTTCCCTCCAGTGAAACCCAAGTGACAAATCCAAAAAGTGCTAATTTTGGCCTCTTGGGCTGGTGTGATTCATCCCACCCAGAAGGTAAAGCTGTTTGGGGGAAGGAGGAGTCTGGGTGCGGGGATGACAATACGGTTAGGCATAGTACTGTCTCTAGCACACAACGGGAAGCTCCTGATGCAACATTCAGGGTCCTGTGGGCAAATGTTCCATTTATTTATGGAGAAGTCTCAGAGAGATAGTTTAAGCCCTTGGTGAAGCCCACTTAGGTGGGCCCGCCTCAGACAGCAGAGGAGGAATGGAGCTGGGATTATAACAGGGTCTTCTGACCCTTCCTCATCATCCTCCCACCATGGGCCACACCCTCCTTCTCAGCTTAAGAAACCAGGGAAGGAGGAAGTAGAGGGACTAAGAGTCACACTTCATTAAGCCAAGTTGTGAGAAATAAAACTTCAGTAGTCAGCCTATTTAATGCTAAAATATCTGAATAGTTTTCTAAGTAATATCTTTTCCAAATTATTTTTAAATGACATGTATGAATTGTTTTAAAAATCATGGCATGATATACATAATTTAAAATCTACCAACTTAACCATTTTTAAGTGTATAGTTCAGTAGTGCGAAGTCCACTCACACTGTTGTGTAACGTCACCACCATACATCTCCATAATGCTTTTCATCTTGCAAAACTAAAACGCCATACATACCTCTGGTAGGCGAGTTTGTTGACTTCATTCCTGGTGGAATAATTCCTGGAGGCCTAAGCTACAGCCCACTTCTCAGCCCATCTAACAATTTTCTATATTAACTAGTTTTCTGCTTAAAAAAAGCTAGAGTATCGTTTCCATTTTCTCCAAGTAAACATGGACTGACATCATGTTTTGGAACTAGAAGAGGTTGTAGGCTACAGAGCCTCATGTTTGGGGTTGGTTATCTGTCTGGTTGGATTTGAAGACAGGTAAAGATCTTCTGGTTCCAGCCAAGATAGAACATCAGGAACCAGATTCACTTTACCACCCGAAACAACGAAAACACTGAACAAAATATGTGAAACAATGGTTTCCAGATTTTGAACTTCAGGCAGTGTGGGGCAGTAATCAGCAAAAGAGGGAAAACAAATGAGGAGGATCTTACAATCACCCCAACTTACTGCCTGATGGAGTTTCTAGGCAGCAGTACAGAGAGAGAGGGAACCCAGGGAACCTGGCAGTCACCCTGAGTTGAGGAGATAGATCTCAAGTCAAAGGAGGTTAAGGTGCTCACAATTCACAGGGTAGAGACAGCTGTGCAGGGACAGAACTGTGGAAATTGCAGAAGGTCCTCCTTGAGTCTTCAGTTGAGTACAGATCAGCATGTGCATGTGAGGAAACTGAGTCCAAGGAAATAATTTCCCGAAAGAAACAGAGGGTAAAGTCTATAGGGCTCACACAAGGCTGAGAATAAACTTGTATTTTCACCAGGCACAGTAAAAAAGCTTCAGAATTCCTGGGACAGCAGGGAGCGTATTCAGCAGTGGGGCAAAATCACCCCTAGAAAAAGGCTGCTCGTGTCCTATTTACCAAAGTTTAAAAGCAAGCTTGAGAAGGATCAGACTACTTTCAATGAACCTAACCACATGCCAGATCACAGCTCAAAAATAT